TTGTAAGTGTCCGAAGACTAAGAAGCAGGTGTCTGAGGACTGAGAAGCAGGATATGAATTTCCTAAATCAAAGAAGAAACTACCCAATTGCGAATAATTAATTCTGCAACAAAACAAACGTTTTGGATATGCAGCAGTATTGTGTTATAGTGATTAACTAATAAGAGGATGGGTATGCTGTAAAGTTCACTGAACTTCTGTAAAATAATTACATATTAAAGACACAGGCCTCAGATATCTGTTGACATTTAAGGTTTTCAAGCTACAGCTTCTGGAAGCTTCTCAAACAAAGAAAGAGCCAGTTTGGTGTAGTGGTTAAGTGCGCAGACTCTAATCTGGGAGAACCTGGTCTGATTCCCCACTCCTCCACTTGCAGCTGATGGATGACCTTGGGCAAGCCATAGTTCTCTCAGAGCTGTTCTTGAAAGAGCTCTCTTAGCCCCACCTAGCTCACAGGGTGTCTGTTGTGGGGAGGGGAAGGGAAAGGAGTTTGTAAGCCACTCTGAGACTCCAAGTGAAGGGTGGGGTATAAATCCAATCTCCTCCTCCTCCTTCTTGTATTTTAAAAAAACCACAATGATTTATCCCTCTTTCCTATGTTTGGCCAATTTCCTAGTAACTTCAATAATCACCTGGAAAATATAATAGCTATAGGTTAATGGCCAACGTCATGTTTCTCCCCCTGCAACTGATATGGTAAACAAGGGCTATAAAATAAGGAATGCATTTGCTGGCTTTTGCCATATCAACCGTAAATTGTTCACACCAGTTTTAGTTTTATAAGATATTACACATTCGTTCCCCTTTCCATCGCAATCAGGAAATAATGGGCAATAAGAGCATGTGGAAAATGCTTTAGCTTGGCAGCCAACATCACATTTACCAGCGGCCTAAACCAAAATGGATGTCTGTTGTTAGGCTGAAGGGGATTTTTGACTGGCTCAAAGTACCAAGGCTATGCACATGTAATCAGGAATAAGTCTCTTAGACTCAGAGCATTCATGCAGAGGTTTGTACATTAAGTTTGCTAAACCACGGTGAAAAAATTACACACTGATATGAGAACAGAACCCGTTTAGCTCTTGTGGCAAAGAGGGCATTTGTTAGGGAGGGTGGCCCTGCCAAGGACAGCTAACAGTGGGTTCAGACAATCCTTCTGGCAAGAGTCTTAATTTATTTTGCCAGACACAGAAGGAAAGAGGACGTTCAATATGTTTATTTGAATTCTACTCAATATATGGCAGTCACAGGTTTAAGGGTTACATACAGAACCCCAAAGATCCCCCTGCCCATCATACCTTGCCAGCTTTGTGTAGTGGTTAAGAGCAGAGGACTCTAATCTGGAGAGCCGGGTTTGATTCCCCACTCCTCCATATGAAGCCAGCTGGATGACCTTGGGTCAGTCACAGTTCTCTCAGAACTTTAACTCCACCTACCTCACTGGGTATCTGTTGTGGGGAGTGGAAGGGAGGGTGATTGTAAGCTGCTCTGAGACTCCTTTGAGTAGTGAAGAGTGGGGTATAAAGCCAACTCTTCCTCATCACTGTCCCAACCTAAACATACGGAAACAAATCATGAGTCTTTCCATTAACATGAGCAGGTTCTCTATGCACCATACATTGCCCCCATCGTATTTATGCCCCCTTCTTCCTCCAAGGAGCTCAGGGCAGTGTATAGCTCACCCCATTTTCTCCTCACAACAGCCCTGTGAGGTGGGTTAGGTGAGTAGATAGCAACTGACCAAAGATCACACGTTAACTCCTTCCCTCCCCCTCAGTAAAGGAACACTGGGTTTTATAGCTGTGCACCTATCAGTGCCTTGTTCGGCATCCTGGGCCCACGTTGACCTTGTCTTCTGAAATGTTGTCCCCTTAGTCTCCCCCTGCTTTTGAACGGCAGTGATGGAAAAAGCAAATTCTAAGCTAAGGATAGCAGAAATGGGATTCGTTTCAGAGTGTAGCCCAACTGGTCCGCAGCACTGCTTCCTCTAAGCTGTGGAGTCTTGTGAGCAAAAATTAAACTTCTGTGAGCTACTGGCATTAAAGTTGTGGTCACTATGCCCTTGCCCTGATGCAATGCCACATTTGGAATCCTACGGACCCTTCTGGCTCACATATCTTTAAAAAAGGATGCTCTTGAGTGGGAAAAGGCACAGAAAAGGGTGACCAAAACGATCGAGGAGCTGGAGCCCTGTGTTATCCGGACCACTGAAAATCCAAGAGCTGGTTACAGCGACAAGACAAAAACCCGAACGTCTCTACCTGTTGTAACGTAATGGTGTGGGTGGTGCCAGCGCCACCTTCTGTGTCGCCTTAGCCCCAGGGCACCACTCAACAGGTCTCAGAGAGAAAAGGAAGAGGGTTGGAGAACACCCAATTCCCATCTGCTCTTCTGCACAGCGTGCAGCTGGTTGCCTCGCCGGGGACCTCCACCTCAGCCCTCTTAAAGGTGGTGCTGAAACGTATGCACCCCTTCTGGCCAGTCCCCTCTCCGAAGGAAAGCATTCCTCTTGAGGAACCACTTTGGGCCGTTGCCTGGTGTGGGCCACACCCCCCCCACTTCCTTTGGAAACCCACAGTGGCTCCCAGTGAGGGTTGTGACCCCTTGCCCCTGACCCTAACTTTTAGTATGTGCATAAGTTAAAGGGACAAGGATATGCTCTGCAGTCATATTATCACAGATAACATCATTCGAATGTGAGTTTTTAACAAATGGTGACATATGTCAGTTGGGGTTGGGAGGGATACAGGATAGCCTAAAACCAGAGAGCAGTCTGCAGGCAGATACAACGCTTCCCATCGCTGAAGCTCCTACAGGTCTGGGCCTGTACAGCTGCCGCAACCCTGTGCTCACTCATCAGTTAAACTGGATCAGGGTGCCTCTTTATCACTGGATTTTGCTGACTGGATCAACTGTTTCTAAGGCCCACGGCCTGTGCCTTTAAGGTCCCCTGGTGTGCCTGAGTTGGCAAACAGTTGCGACTGAGTCCTGGTGGGATCTCCCCCCCCCCCGCCTTGTGCAAGACTGATGCGTCACGTTTCAGTAGCCACTTCAGGACACTTCTGCAGAGAATCTGAAATCAGTATCTGGTAGCACAGCTGAGAGGCACCTGACAAAAAGCAAAGCAAATTACAAGGCGCAAAGAGAAGCAGAGCAGACTTTAATAGCAATAGTTCAGTGTGAGGTTTAATTTGAACCAGAGGGCCTAGGATTTAGCTCTCGCTTGCTAAAAAATGTCGCCTCTTGACCCCCAAATAGGTAAAAGCAATAATAAACCAACAAGCACTTTATACTTCTGGGATTGGAGGGTTTGCTCAGCATCTTTTGTTTTGTTTAAGACATTGTTTTCATTCAATTATTACATTGTTAATGTTTTGAAATTTGAAAACAAATACTTGCAAAGGAAAGTGTATTTAGGAGTAGCCTGCTGCCTGATCATGTGTCTGATTGGCAAAAAAATTATAACCTAATCTTGTCATCTAACAGCTTAGCTTTTATGGAAAGCCTCCTTCCATACTTGTGTGACACAAGCCCATGTGTATTTTACGCACTGATTTCAACAAGATTCTTATGAAAGCATACTGGAGAGCCAGTGCTGTGTAGTGTGTTGGACTATTATCTGAGAAACCTGGGTTCAAATCCCCACTCATGCCATGGAAGCTCCCTGGGTTACCTTGGGCCAGTTGCTGCACTCTCTCAGCCTAACCTACCTCACAGGGCTATTGTGAGAATAAAACGGAGAAGGGAATGATGTAATGTTTGTTAGGGCCCCGTTGGGGTGAAAGGAGTGGGATAAATGAATAAAATTAAAAAATAAGGGGGCAATTTCCTCTAAACTTTCCTCCAAGATCTCCACCCCCTTTTATCCTAACAACTGAAAATTCCTGGTTTCATGGCTGAGTACTCGTGGACTGCAAGGAGATCAAATCAGTCAATCTTAAAAGAAATCAACCCTGACTGTTCCCTGGAAGGCCAGATACTCAAATACTTTGGCCACCAAATGAGAAGGGAGCACTCACTGGAGAAGACCCTGATGGTGGGAAAGATTGAAGGTCAAAGAAGAAGGGGACAGCAAAAGATGAGATGGTTAGACAGTGTTATCGAGGCAAGGAACATGAAACCGAGCAAACTC